CATACATTTCTCCTCAACTGGATTTGGTTTTTTTTTACATTCACTCACTTATAATAAATATATTAGGTACTTGTTGACGGAACGATTATGGTGCATCAAGTTTTCTTCGAGCAACGGGGCTTTGACGGTCTCTCATCTAAGTCTAATGGTAGCAACGGGTCGTGGGTTCAACCCCCACCGGGTCCAACATTTTTATTAACATATTGGACGTCGTCCAGGAAATCTGGATATTATAGAAATTCCATCCGGGTAACGAATCACCCATTCCCATTGAATGGTAGCCTTGAAGGTTAATCGCCTTAAGTGTTCCGGTTTCAGTCTGTGGATTTCCGAATATCCAAAGCCAAAATGGGGCGACAGCGCATCTTGTTTAGATGCTATAATGTGTATATCAACTACCATCAAGTGAATCTCATATCTATCTGTCCTCTCATCATAAAAAAATCATAATGTAGGAAATAGGAAATCGCGAAGTATATAGTCGAAATTTCATACTTAGGTTGAAGCAAAATTTAATTTTGGATTGTCGAAATATTACAATAAAACACAACAATACAATGAAATGATGACGATAAAGGACTCGAGAAGGTCAAACTACGTTTACCTACCATGAAGAAATCGTTTCTTATCTGTCCATTCCGGCACAAAAAATAATAAAAACCCTACCAGGCCATTTTACAATTTTACGATTCTCTTATTTTGGCAAGGTATTCTTATCTTATATCGTTTGAGATAGTAATTTTCGATTTTTATGCGTTTAACACTTTTTCGTGATGTTGCTTTGATAAAAGCGTTCATTACTTTCAATTAGTGGCAAGTTTATTTTGCCTTTTAATTTTATCTGTAGAAAGGCGTCGTGGAGTACATTACATTTGCGGGGTATTGTTGGATTTAGAAGGACAAGAATGATGGATATATAACATAGTGTTATGTGCAAGCTATAAAATGCAACATAATTTATTGGTATAAGCTTTTCAATTCAATAATGAGAGCATGACATTTGTTTTATAGTTCCTGTTTATCTTTTATCGTCCTTCCTTTCAATATGAAGAGCTTGATTAATTAAGAGCATTTAAAATGTCTATTGGTAAAATTGCGAATTCCCTTACGCAAGGGCCTCAGATTTCCAATAACACCGTTCCACGCATTCCCGTCACACCCTTAGCCATCATTACGTCACCCAATAAGCTTACAAAAGCTCGCTATACCCCCAATTATAACCACTACAAAATGAGCTTTATTCCTTTCACAATAAGACGAGCGTGACGCATTTGATAAGTCTCCCGTTTCGGGTGCCAATTTTAATTAGCCCCCCACCCGCTCTCACCCCCGCCGTCGTCCAGATAAGGGTGTTTGCAAATAGTGCCGGCAAAGAAGCCAATCCATCAAATTGGAGCATTACCACACCGCGATGTCCCGAGGGTTGTGCCATCCTGCTGTTTATATCGATGAAATCAATGCGACATGAAACTTGTCTATAAATTAAATTGAAATTACAGGCATACTTGTTCATATTTATTAAACACACATCTTTCTTACAGCCCAATTTGGCGGAAATATTGTGATTTGTGTTTTTTTCTTACTTATTTAAAATATATTTTTTTTTATCTTATAAAATTATATTTAGTTTATTGAGAGTGTTTTGATGACGAAAGGCTTTAAGAAAACACTTAATTTTAGTATCGTATCCTATTGATTAGATTTTCTATTGTTTCCCATGAACATCGTGCACGCATTCCCACGTAGGTACATCACTAGTGAGCGCGTGCTTTCAGTTGATTGGCGTAACTCGATAGCCCCTGCTCTAATGTTGGACGCGATAAATCTCACAGGAACCAGTGGTGTCAATGACACGCAGGGTCTAAGTTCACATCGAAGTGTTCGCTAAAAATTTACGAACCTCACTAAACGTTCGATTATTAAAAAATTTTTTAAAAAAGCTTCCATTCGAACTAAGAAAGTATCTAATTCAATTAAACTTCTTAAACGATTTAATACACGATATAAATTAGTTAGGCTATTGGAAATTAATTTTAACTACGGCCCGACGTTTCGGATGTTTTGCAACAGACGTGGTCACGGGGAGTCATTTCCAAATAAGTTTATTTCGCGTTTTAAACCGTTAAAATGTTATTTACTCTACTCGCGTAAACTACGGACGGTATTGAGGTATTTTAGATGTTTCTTTTTGTTCCTGTGCTCTGCCCGACCCAAACTGTTTAATATGTTACTGCAGATTTCGAACCAAGGATCCTTATATCCATCAATAATGTGACGCATCTCTCTCGGCGATAGAATAATTGCCTGTACCCCTTGCATAGCGGTAGAGTCTTATGCTAGGGTCGCAGATTCGGTGTCGAGTTGCGGCAATCGGCTTACAAACGCCATGGGAGACACCGCAGCGTTGGATTAGTCCTAATGAGCAGTTTCGGTTATTGAACCCACATTATTATCTGCCACTATCTTGGCGAAAGTTCTTTTTCCAGAAGTGTTTCAACGATATTTCATTGAATACGATAAACAAACATACATACATAACATACATAAAAACGGTTCTTGTGGATTAATCTTAAATGATATATGATACGACATAAAACACATATTATTGTGGAGATTTCTTTACAAAGAAGAACTTTTGTAACATTTTTGGGTATCTTGAGCCGTTTTCTGAATAACTGAGTCACATTCAGTTGTGCACAGACAGTATATTGTTTAAGGGTATCTGTATACTTAGATCGGATATTTCATTCGTGTCTCGGTAGGAAACATTTTTCGTTAATAGAAATAGCTCAACTAAAACAATGACTTAGGCGCTTTAAGCTAATTTATTTCTCTTGACTTTTCACACGCGTCTGTTTGCACACACCCATTTGGGGTGTATTAGGGGTACGTTAATGTGTGTGTGCTAAGATGAATTAGGGGATTACAATTCTGCATCATGCAACTGCACTCTGATTTTGCACGCTGATAATATAGAGGCTGATGTATTTTGACAAGCTAGAACAAATCAGTTTGCCTATACATTTCCAAAAAGTATCGCTAGTGTTGCCTACTGCAATGTAATATATAAATACTTTTAAGTATTGTCTGTAGTTTTCAATAAAAAAAAATTATTAACGGTTTAAAACGCGAAATATTTCGCGTGGTGGTGGCGAAATTAGTCATTCGTAAAGACTGCCCGATTTTTCTCACGTCGACGTTTGAATTGTTAAAAGTTGCTGTGTATACTGTATACCTCTACTTATCTACAAATATTTATCCTTGTCTAATATAACAAAATGCCGGCTTTGAAAGAAAAGTTCTACTACCGTAAGCAACAGTTACCCATACTAAAGTGTTTTCAGTCACAATTACCGTGCCTGAAAACAATAAACCTGTTGTTTCAACAAATTCAAAATGTTTTATTGTGACACCCTGTGTACAATGCAACTCCTAGGGGTGGCGGGTAATGGCCTAAAAGTAATTTTATTACTTTGCCCCCATTACAATGCATTACCATCACAATGCCACCGGTCGCGATATGCAGACAGATACTCGATACGTTTCATCATTGTCAGTAATTTTATCTTACTCTCTTTACATAACTTAGTTAGAGAAAGTAGAGAATGGGGCCCAAGTTTACACCTTGTAGCATGAATTGACAAATTCTTTCAATATATAAACCACTTATTGATGTTTATTAAAGTTCTAATAAAAAGACAGTTCTTTCATCTCAGAAACAAGTCATTTATATTACCTTTAAAAATTAATTAAGTTTGAAGAATTTTAAAAAAAAACTTTTCCGGGTTTAAAACCCATATCTTTAAATAATGTTTTTTTTAAAGATCATTTTCAAAAAGTTTAACTAATATATCGCGTTTTAAACCGTTAAAGTGTTTCATTTAAATGTGTACTACTCGCGTAAACATAGACAGTATTTAAGTTTGAAGAAATCAATATAACGTTGTTCTAATGAAAATAAACAGTATTCAAATGCAAACGTTCGCGTTAATAATATTAGTAGGTCTGTTTAAAAGCTCATACGAAAGCGAAGAACAGCTCAGTCGTCCGCTCAAACAGAACAAAACTGTACCAAATAAGGCAGAAGCAGAAACAATCGGAACGTGCTGCATTTTGGACTTTTTTATTTATCAACATCGGATTACAAGGAGCAGAAATAAGACGGAGCTCACACCCTGATTCGATTTGTTCTTCCTCCGATGAATATTTGATGTGGCTCAGTGCACACTAATTTGTTTATCGTGTACCACGCTTTTGTTCAGTGCGCTCACAGTACATTCCCGAAGTGAAATTCACATTAATTATTCAGAAAAACAAACGTATCTTGAATCGTTCGTTCCGACAATTTCTCTTTCGTCTTTTCTAATTCAATAAACATTGCTTATTCTACGATTCGAGTTCGTTTCGTCTTCTTTTAAATACTACTGTATCTTTGTATTTGCGGTGACTTTTTAAAGGGATATACGGAACAACGGCAAAAACAAATAGCAAATCAGGCACGTATACGGCGACGCACCGCGAATTAATTAAATGTACGCAAGATACGAATCACTGGAGTGGCAGGTGATTAAATAAATACTAGCTGGCGTTTCTAATTAATATGCCAGACGCAAAGTAGATAACACGTCGAAATATCTCCGCTCTAACTGCGATTAACACATTATTTTAATGAGCTTCAGAATTTGTCGCGAGTGTCTTGTAACGGATATGCTATGATACATTATCTGACATAAGCACAGCAAGATCACAGATTCTGGTAAGATCAAGCGGGACTTGCTGAACCGTTTCACCATTACAACCTCCTTAGAACTCGTGTTCTGGCAATAGACAATCTCTTATACAAGTAATAGTTAATCGTACAATGTTTCTTCCTGATGTTGGCTCTCTAAGTACCCAAAGCTGACAGATGGAATATATAGAAAAAGTTTTGAATAACAGTTAACCGGTATCCTATTGCATTACATTCTAGAAAGAATGCTAATTTTTCTTTTTATTTCCAGGCGATGCGAGTAATGCTAGTATCGGTTCAGGAGAAGGAACGGGGGAAGAAGATGACGACACGAATGGTAAGAAGAACCAGAAGAAAAGAGGGATCTTTCCAAAGGTAGCGACGAATATTCTGCGGGCGTGGCTATTTCAACATTTAACGGTAAGTGCTAGTTATATTTCGACTCTAATTTGTGTTTTAACCATTCTTCTATATCTACTATATTCATCCATACACAAAATATTAGGAAATTAACACACAAGAAGAAGTACGTTACAAATTTGTAATTGAACAACAGATTGAAAAATTAGATGCTGTAATCTATACAATGATACTAAAACTTACGTTAGAGGCTATTATAAGGCATAGCTTATATAAAAAAATAATTCGTGAATCAAACGCTAGTCTGTCCTTACAGTGAGTTTAAAAATTATTTCAGTTTATTTGATACGTAGGGCTTATTGCAAAGTAGTTTATAATAAATAATAAGTAAATATAATAGTTTTAGTAATATTCAAAACAATCTAAACCATAGACAAGGAGCCCGCTTGAACTGTGACCCAAATATATTAACAGGCGCTAGTGTGGAAAATGAGTAAAGTTCAGCTCTGTGGCAATTGACAAAGCAAAGTTTATATCTGTAAACGGGTAGCGTAGCCACAGGCGCAGGTATATTACGAACAGTTGGGATTAATATGTGTAAAGTTTACGAAATGTTTGATAGGATTAAACTTATTCATAGTGAATATAGATAACATTAAGGGTTTTTCTCCTACAATTAATTTTTGGATATGTTTCGAATTTCACTTGTATTTGGAGCATAATTAAAACATTCCGTACTAATAACGGACAATAGAGAAAAATACATGTAAAAATATGATAATGCGTGTACTTTACCTTTAGCTGCTATGTTAAAATGACAAGCATTCAGTTAGCTACGATAATGATGGATAACAGAGCTATGCATACGGTTGTCCTTACTGTTGTTAACAGTCTGCCACGGTTCAGTTTTCAATTAAAATTTTCCCGTTAAAGCAATAAATTTTTCATTGCGTAAAGAACAGTGAGCGTTTCTACGAACAATTAAACGAATTGTTTTGTTTGAATCCACTGGTTTATGCAGATGGATTTTGTTTGAAACGGTACAAAAAAGTTATCTATTAAAAACTCTTATAAGAGTGAAAATCTCCATTAAATCTAAGATTTTGAGCAGTTTGTCAAATTTGTTAAAGTTTCCTACATCAAGAATGAAGATGTACATAGACTACAAAGTATACAAAAAAATCCGTCTATTTAGGTGTTAACTTATCTTATTTATAAGGGCTGTAAATACACACGCTACACTGAAGTCTGACTAATACCTACTTTATAAAGGATTTAGTCTGCATGCGAAAAATTTCGCAAAAGTTCCTCTACAGAGTTTAAAATTCTGTTTAATCTCTATATTTTGACACATCTAGCGTTAGCGGAGACCATAATGAAAGCACTTAGCTTTAAACGAAGCAATTATAAGCAATTCGGACCGTAATGGCGGGAGACGGGACGCAAAAACGTGCACTAAAAGCCTCCTAATTCGATTGTCAAGCCTACTTTTTAAACTTCGAACAACGGAAATAAAGACTCAGTTTTCGAAACGATTCGTTTATTGCAAATCCTTGTAGTCTGCACTATCGGCTGTCGTAGACAATTATATACTTTTTCTTTATCCTGTTCAAGCTTGAATTAACGATAACTACACATTTAACATCTGTGGATCTATACGGAAGAAAGATTTAACAGTAACGTGTCAACTGTCAAACCAATTTTTCAAAGTCGGAAACCGGAAATAGATCCGCCGACTTTGAAAGCGATATTTCAACAAAAAGCTTCTCCGTTCCAATTAAAACTCGCTTCGAAATTCTCGGAATCGCTATAAAGAATCCGGCGTCTTCAGAACAGTACCCTGCCTTCGGAAGGCTTCCAGCGTCACCTGAGTAGTCTTCTTCGGGCCCCGGTGATTTATGGACGTGGATCCGGACCGGTAATGAAATTGCAACCCCCTTCAAGCCCCCGCGCCTCGCAGCCCGCGCCTCTCAAAGCCATTCGAGAAATTACAGCTAACTTCGCGACACTCAACACGGTAGCGTCTTATGCTAATGTTTATTTTTTCAATCATCAATCACTATGATAAAAGGCATTAGATATTGAGCCTGACATCTGTGCTGTTTTAGACGTGAAATCCGTTAGAAAATATAGTATGCTTTTTTTCTCACGACAAACAATTTTAATCTGTATTCCTTTCATAAATTCAAATTTGGAATTGTAAATTAAATAAAACGTGTTCGACTATAGATTCTACAAGGTTCCACTTTGAAAACTCTCCGATTCATAGATACAGATTGACAATGCGGTTATAGACAATCCGAACAGGGTTTTGCAGACGTGATAGTTGTAATATTCATAGGATTAGCTGCGGTACAAGCTACCTGTAGCTTTCACACGGAAATTGATTGGGCGAAATGGAATCAAAAATCCAACCCGGAGTCTTTCACACAGACATGATGTATTTCTTATAATAAAAAACAAACATGGTATTTAGCATATACCTACATACTAAATACAACTAATATACGTCAATAGTTAAGTTAAGTTAATGATAGGTTTGTTGATGCAATCGACCTCAAATACAGTGGGCCAGGGTTCGAATCCCTGGTAGGGGGAAATATCAATTCAGAATTTTAATTTGGAAGTATTTTAATTGAAGTGTCACCATTCTTGTGATTCAAAGAAGCGGTTTTTTTTAAAAGCATGGGTTTTACTTGATGGGAGATGAAACACCCCAGCCATATAACATTTACACAGATGCGCTGTCGACCTTTTAAGCTAAGCTTTTTACCCTCTTATGAGAAGGAGTTATGATCAGTACTGAAGTAATAATAGGCAGAAACGAACGGCCACTTGACCGTAATATTTCCTTCACTACACACACGTTCTGATTGAAACTAATTTTGTATGGTGACCAAAAAAGGAGTATTGTCGATGGTCGCATCGTGGTTTCATTTATATTCAGCGAGCTGCAATATCGGTAACAACACGATTGTTCACTGCAAACAGCTTGAATGTTAAAATTGTAGCACATTTAGATTCTATTGATACTCCGTTCGTCTTGAATTTCTTATATCCTGGAGGAAAGTCACAATAATACAATTTTAAATTGAACCTTACGATTTGGACTTTTAGTTTTATATGTAGCTGGTTTGAGGTAATCTTTGTAACGCGTTACGTAACGCAGTTATTTGATTTCAGATATGTTATCAATTAATAAATAATCTATCTGTTAGTGGAAGTTTCGTATGCTTCTCGTCTTGTTTTATTATTTATTTGTCGAACGATTGTAAAACTATCTTTTTCTTTTTGATCTAGATCCAAAACTAAATTTCACAGATAATCTTTACTAATCGTATAAGAAAATATCCGTCTTGAAGTTAAAATGATTCAACCCGTCTCTATAGACACAAGACGTACGTAAAGCCATTGAACAGCTGTTAACATTCTGTTTTCTCAGAAACAATAGGAGAACGCCGCGGGGATTCTGTTCTGGGATTACCTCAGCCTTATAATTATTTTTAGCCCCCCGAAAGGGCTTAAAGTCCCAAGGTGGGATTTGGTGGGCGACGTTATTCAATATTATGTCTTGGCGAGGGCGAGGCGACACGTAGCTATGAAGTATTGCACGGATCCCGCAATCCCGTGCGCACCACGATTGATGATTAACGGGATTAGAACTGACGTACGGCATGGTGCATGCTCTCTGGATCAAATGTCAGATTGCGTAAACATAGTTCTTATCTGTGGATTGACGACTAGAATCGCTTTTGCTATACCCCGTCTTATGATAAGATTAAGGAAAGAGAAAACTTCGAAACTATTTTTTATTTAAATCAAAAATAAGGAGGAAATAAAGATTTCAATGTGGCAAGAGACAAAGAAATACCTATATTTTAATGTAATGTGACCAAATCTGTTTTGCTTTTGCGACATAACGACATTATTCTAATTTTTCCTTCCGCTGTATTATGTTGTTATTTGTTTTACACCCCTGTTGACTAAAGTAACAGTGCGTTAGTACACTTAACAAAAACATGCAATAAACAATATGTCAAAATTGTAAAATGCCATCCTATATAAGACAAAGAATATAAGTTATCTTCGCTTTAGTAAGTTAACACGCGGCCATCTTACCGTGTATAGAAATGACGGTTTAATTTAATAAAACTCGTTTCGCATCACCTTTCTTGGGAGCAGAATTTCTAATACATTTTCCGAAAATCACGCTCCGTTTCACACACGAACATAATTCACATGACATTTAATATTAATAGAAGTACCAGGACATCATAGACGTGGAGAGATGGCGAAACACGGAATTCCTAGGCGGTGTTGTGTTACGTAGCTGGCTTTGAGAGGCACCGCACCGGAATGGAAGCAAAGAATTTATACTTTATTTATGTATCTCGTATGTTATGTGCGCTGGGTACTTTATGATTATGGATGTCATGATGGGAAAGAGTCGCAAGATCAAAGCTATCGATGGATGCGATTGTGTTTCTATTTCAATTGTATTTTCTAGTATGTTCCGTACGTGTAAACATTTCTTGGTTTAACAACACAAGCTCAGTCTATCTATCTAAATAATTAACAAACGCACCGATTCTCCTGCGCATAAAATTCGCGAAATTGACCACACCACCCTAATAACTCGTCCATGTTATTTGACGCAAACCTTTGTTTATCCTGTCGCCAAAAAAGTACGTTAATTCCTCTAGACCCAGCGTGTTCCAATATTAATAAATTCTCATTTTCCGGATTCGTATGCAATTTGCCCCGGACTCCTCCAAGTAAAACTTATGACCTTCCCTTACCCTAAATAAAGAAGGGCCGCGCCACGTTTTGAGAAAAACGAAAATTGAGCCATATTTTGGTGTTCTCAGTTTATTGGATTAATGGTGCGGCTGGTCGTTGGGATAATTTTTCATGGTTAAGGTGTTGCCAGTTTTAATAAGGTGCGAGAAATCCGATTATCTATGCACTTTCAAGGATAAGCGAATTAAATTGTTTAATCTCTATAATGCTGATATGTTTTTTATGATAGTGAATTATAGACCAGCATGGGATTCCCTTGA